CTCATCAACTACCCTATTTCCAAACCAATACTTTCCTTTGTAGATGAATGGTTCAGAGAACCGACATGTTGATAAATTAGATACATATGCAACTCTTGGGTATCTTTATTGAGGAAACGTTTCGCCACACAGTGGCTTCATCAGTCCATACGTAGGAGAAACTTGAAGAACAGGAGAAGAATGAGGTAATCAGTCCCTCAACCTTGAGTCGATGTGTTCAGTCCATCAATCTTGAATAGAATACGGCATATCAGCGGAGAAGCAGCTTATAAACCGTATGGCAGGAGAGGTGCAGCAGTCATAGGTCGTATCACATTTGTTCAGTGTGGAAGTAGGTCGGGCCCAAGAATTAGGCAAGCGAAGAATTCTTAAGTATTAAGATCCCAAGAAGTTGCAGTGTCTGACAGATTTGTAGATGAATGGTTCAGAGAACCGACATGTTGATAAATTAGACACATATGCAACTCTTGGGTATCTTTATTGAGAAAACGTTTTGCCACACAGTGGCTTCATCAGTCCATATGTAGGAGAAACTTGAAGAACAGGAGGAGAATGAGGTAATCAGTCCCTCAACCTTGAGTCGATGTGTTCAGTCCATCAATCTTGAATAGAATATGGCATATCAGCGGAGAAGCAGCTTATAAACCGTATGGCTTGCCTAATTCTTGGGCACGACCTACTTCCACATTGAACAAATGTGACATGACCTATGACTGCTGCACCTCTCCTGCCATACGGTTTATAAGCTGCTTCTCCGCTGATATGCCGTATTCTATTCAAGATTGATGGACTGAACACATCGACTCAAGGTTGAGGGACTGATTACCTCATTCTCCTCCTGTTCTTCAAGTTTCTCCTACGTATGGACTGATGAAGCCACTGTGTGGCGAAACGTTTCCTCATTAAAGATACCCAAGAGTTGCATATGTGTCTAATTTATCAATACTTTCCTATGTCCTTTCTAAATCTAAACTTGTCTAATTTAAATCCATTACTGCGGGTTCTCTCTTGGAGAGACATCCTCAAGACCTTATTAATATCCCCTTTATTAATACCCATCTTCCACTTATACACTTCGATCGTGTCTCCCCTCATTCTTCGTCTAACAAGTGAATGTAATTTAAGAATCTTCAATCTTTCTTCATAAGGAAGATTTCTAATGCTATGTATTAATTTAGTCATCCTACACTGTCTATTCTGCATAATCTAGGTGAGGCCTAACTAATGATGTACAGTGGACCCCCGGTTAACGATTTTTTTTCACTCCATAAGTATGTTCAGGTGCCAGTACTGACCGAATTTATTCCCATAAGGAATATTGTGAAGTAGATTAGTCCATTTCAGACCCCCAAACATACACGTACAAACGCACTTACATAAATACACTTACATAATTGGTCGCATTCGGAGGTAATCGTTATGCGGGGGTCCACTGTATAAAGCTGCAGTATGACCTCTGGACTTCTGTTGCTTACACTTCTTGATATAAATCCCAGTAATCTATTTGCCTTATTACGTACGCTTAGGCATTGCTGTCTTGGTTTAAGGTTGCTGCTTACCATAACCCCCAAGTCCTTTTTGCAATCTGTATGGCTAAGTTCTACATTATATAACTTATAAGTGCTAGGGTTATGGACACTCCTGAGCTTCAGAACCTTGCATTTATCTACATTGAACTGCATCTGCCACTTTTCTGACCAAGAATAGAATTTGTCTAAATCTTTCTGAAGTTCCCTAACATCTACGTTTGAATCAATTATCCTACCTATCTTTGTGTCATCGGCGAATTTGCTCATATCACTAGTAATTCCCTCATCAAGATCATTGATATATATTATAAACAACAGCGGGCCCAAGACTGATCCCTGTGGAACGCCACTTGTTACAGATCCCCACTCGGATTTAACCCCATTTATGGACACTGCTTCCTGTCTGTGAGCCATGACTCGATCCACGAGAGCACTTTTCCCCCAATGCCATGAGCTGCCACTTTCTTTAACAGTCTATGGTGCAGAACTCTATCAAAGGCCTTACTTAAATCTAAGTAAATAATATCAAATTCTTTATTGTGGTCAACAGCCTCAAAAGCTTTACTGAAGAAAGTTAACCCTTTGACTGTCGCGGCCGTATATATACGTCTTAAGAGGTACCGTGTTTGACTTATATATACTCATAAATTCTAGCGGCTTCAAATCAAGCAGGAGAAAGCTGGTAGGCTCACATGTGAGAGAATGGGTCTGTGTGGTCAGTGTGCACCATATAAAAAAAATCCTGGAGCACGCAGTGCATAATGAGAAAAAAAAACTCTGACCGATTTTTTTAATTAAAATGCTGACTTTGTTGTCTATATTCGTATAGTATTTATGGTTGTATTCTCGTTTTCTTGGTCTCATTTGATAGAATGGAAAACATATTATAGAAATAGAGGTGATTTTGATTGATTTTACTATAAAAAGAACCTAGAAATGGAGCTCAAAGTAGGGGAAATGTTTGATTTTTGCCAATGTTCAAAAGTAAACAAATGATGCCATTGTCCAATAAATGTCCAACTAGCCATTTTAATATGCAGTCATGAATGGGTTGATGTTATTTATACAATTATTACAGTATTGCAGTAGTCTGCATAATAGTAAGTCTTCTATTTTTTGTGTGAATAAAAATTCAAAATAGAAAGCAAGAGTAATATCAGAGGGGCCTGGAGACATGACTGATGAGCAAAGAAAATGTTATTTTAGAGCCAGGAATGTCTGCATTGTTCATTCTGGACCTTATTTTGAAATTGTCATATTTTTTAGTTTTCATGAAATTGGCCAAATTGCAAATTTCTGACCACATTATTAGGTAGTTGAAATCGGAAAATGGGCAGTTTCTTGTACTCAATCGATATAAATAATGGAGTTCTAAAGAAATAGCTATGAGTTTGGGCAACTGGAACAATGGAATTAGCCGAAAATAGGGCTCAAAGTGGGCGAAATCGCCGATTTGTAAACAGCGCCAAGGTCACTAACTTCACGAGAGCATAATTCCGTCAGTTTTCCATCAAATTTCGTTTTTTTTGGTGTCATTACAATCGGGAAAAGATTCTCTATCATTTCATAAGAAAAAATAATAATTTTTTTTTAAATTTTGCAACACCAGGAGACACCTCAGGATTGGGGGTTGCGACAGTCAAAGGGTTAATAAATTAGTTAGAGAAGACCGGCCTCTTGTGAATCCATGCTGAGTATCACTAACCCTTTCAGGGTCCAAGGCCAAAATCTGAAGTGGTGCCCCAGTGTCCAAGAATTTTCAAGAAAATTTTTTTTTATTTTTTCTTATGAAATGGTAGAGAATCTTTTTGTGAATGTAATAAAACAAAAAGTACGAAATTTGATGGAAAATTGACGAAATTATGCTCTCGTGAATTTTGATGTGTCAGCGATATTTACGAATTGGCGATTTTGCGGATTTGACTCCCATTTTAGGTCAATTACATTATTCCAGTCGACCAAATTCTTAGCTATTTCACTAGTATTACTTCTGTTCTATCGATTGAGCACAAGAAATCGCCAAGTCAACTGCTTCAATTACAAAATAAAGTGACCGGAAATTGATTTGGCCAATTTAACACAAAGTTCAAAATATTCCAATTTCAAAATAGGGTCCAGAATAAACAATGTAGGTATTCCTGGCACTAAACTACCATTTCCTCTGTTCATTAGTTATGTTTTGAAGCTTTACAAATAAATTCCATTTTGATTTTTTATTCACATAATGAATTTTTATTCACGCCAAAAAATAGAAGATTTACTGTTATGCAATATTGTAATAATTGTATAAATATCATCACCACATTTGTGAATGTATATTAGACCCACCAGCTGGTGTGTATTAGACGTGTGAGGCCGTTTGTTTACTCTTGAACATCGGCAAAAATTTAATATTTCCGCCACTTTGAGCTCAGTTTCAAGCCATTTCCAGTGCTAAAACCAATCAAAATTATCTCTATTTCTGTAATATTTCTTCCATTCTATCAAATGAGACCAAGAAATCACAAATACAACTATAAAAAACATACGAAAAAACACTGCAAAGTCGCTGTTTTAATCGAAAATCATGGTCTCATTTTTTTAATCTCATTATACACAGTGTGCTGCAGGATTTGTTTTATGTGGTGCACACATACCACATAGTTGTATTCTCTCATATCTAGGCCCAAATTTACCACTCACAGTTTATCAGAGTGAGCTGAGCTCATGACGTAGATCTACGGTTTGGACCCTGAACGTAAAGCCGTAGATCTACGGGACGGACCCTGAAAGGGTTAATCAAGCTATGCTTATTGAGATGGCTTCTTATATTCTCAGCAATAATTGACTAGTAATTTGCCTACAATTGAGGTCAGGCTTATTGGGCGGTAATTTGATGGTAACGACTTGTCCCCTGTTTTAAAAATAGGAATTACATTAGCCATCTTCCACATATCAGACACTACACCTGTTTGAAGAGATAAATTAAAAATATTAGTTAATGGTTCACAGAGTTCCATTTTGCATTCCTTAAGAACCCTTGAAAAAACCTCATCAGGACCCGGAGACTTGTTTAGCTTCAGTCGGTCTATCTGCTTCACAACCATTTCACTAGCGACTCTGATGTTACATAATTTATCATCTTCTGGCCCACTATAAAAATTAATTACTGTCAGGGAAACCAGTTAGCCAGACTTAGAGTACTGAAGGTAGGAAGGGTAGTGCCAGCACTCTGAAGGAGGGGTGGGGATGGTGCAGTCAGAGGATTATTTAAATTGTGAAGTCAGCACACTTCTGGCAAGACAGCAATTGAATGAATGATGGTGAATTTTTTTTTCTTTGGGTCACACTGCCTTGGCGGGAGACGATGGTTGAGGAAAAAATTGTCCTAAAGTCTTTAATCCTTAGATAAAAGCTAATTATTTCATCAAAGATGTACAAATTATTTTAAATTGATGTAGTAGGAATAACCATGCATTCTTTTGTTTTCAGATTGGATTCCCAGGTCCTGGTCCAACTCAGTCAAATGAAGGACCATTAGGCAATATTGCTTCAAGTTTAAGTAACTTGAGTCTTGGTGGTACTGGTGTGTCTTCCTCAATCTTTCCAACGCCACCTTCATCATCAATGAGTCTTGGGGGATTAGGGTCACTTGGTACAGCTCCAGGTTCCCCTGGTCGTCCACTTGGTCCCTCCACTGCTCCTGGGACCTCACAGTCTCCACTCTCTTCCATTTTACCTGCTCTACAGTTGGGACCACCACATCCTGCAGCAGTGGGATCTCAGCTTCCCACACTACCAACTTCATCCATTATTCCCTCTTCTCTAAGATCTCATTCAGTACAGCCAAGTGTTGCACCTGCCAGACAAAGTAAGTTACATTTTTTCTTTATTTTGTTGTAATGTTGACAATAGAATCTCATTTTCATGCATAGGTTGTGTTCTTAAAAACCTGAAAAATATTGGAAAAATAGGGTTACATTCATAATACTTTTAAGAAAAAAAATTTATTTCATAATTTATCAAAAATAATAGTTCTTCATAGGTTACAGTGTAGTTATTGTTGCTTGGTTATCTGGAAATGTGCTGAGAGAGTTGATGTGCCCTTACCAGGCCTAAGTAGATATAGTGGGGTTCTTACAGTGATAAATACAATACTTGTTAAAAGAAAAGTTAAATAAACCACTTTTATTTTTACCATAAATTTTAGTTGCTGGGGCTTTTTGATCTTGAAAAGTGTAGAGAAGACTGATGGAGCCCTACTAGGCCTAGATGAATGCAGTGAGGCTTATAATAACAGACCTGTAGCTAAAATAGTAAAAGGAACCAACTTTACCTTACCTTCAATTCCTTGTTGCTAGTGCTTTTTGCCAAAGAAGTGTTGAACAGAACAAACTGCTAAGTCCTTATTTAGGCTAATAGCTTGGGTAGCTTTAAAAACAAGTTGGACAAATAGTCCAGTAGGTCTTCTGCAGTGCTCTTATTTAGGAAAGCGGTGCTTTTAGATATGTCAGGATTCTTTTCTGTCAGTCTGCACCTTTACCAGTGGGAAATTTCCTTGTATGTTGTCTTTCTCAAACTTTATTGCAATAGAGAGGTTTCTTTCCCATGCGATTAGAACTAGGGAAGGATATTTCAGTTATGAGATTCTATTATACACTTGAATAATATCAGACTTAATTTCAAGATATTAAAAATTGTATATTTGTTTTAGTATAGTAGAACTAATATTTAGTAATAGAAAAATTATTTGCTGCAGTGAGGAAGCAGTTGGAGGCAGTGGAGATGTCCTGTCTAAGGGGAATGTGTGGTGTAAATATTATGCAGAGAATTCGAAGTGTGGAAATTAGGAGAAGGTGTGGAGTAATAAAACTATTAGTCAGAGGGCTGAAGAGGGGTTGTTGAGATAGTTTGGTCATTTAGAGAGAATGGATCAAAGTAGAATGACACGGAGAGCATATAAACTTGTAGGGGAAGGAAGGTGGGGTAGGGGTCATTCTCAAAAAGGTTGTAGGGAGGGGGTAAAGGAGGTTTTGTGGGCGAGGGTCTTGGACTTTCAGCAAGCGTGCATGAGCATGCTCGATAGGAGTGAACGGAGACGAATGGTTTTTTGGGACTTCACGAGCTGTTGGAGTGTGAGCAGGGTAATATTTAGTGAAGGGATTCAGGGAAACCGGTTATTTTTATATAGCCTGACTTGAGTTCTGGAATTGGGAAGTACAATGCCTGCACTTCAAAGGAGGGGTTTGGGATATTGGCACTTTAGAAGGGTATGTAATAGGATGGTGTGTGTGTGTGTGTGTGTGTGTGTGTGTGTGTATATATAATTTTTTTTTTCTCTCTCCCCCCAACAAGTCGGCCGTCTCCCACCGAAGCAGGGTGACCCAAAAAAGAAAGAAAATCCCCAAAAAGAAAATACTTTCATCATCATTCAACACTTTCACCACACTCACACATTATCACTGTTTTTGCAGAGGTGCTCAGAATACAACAGCTTAGAAGCATAAATGTATAAAGATACATAACATATCCCTCCAAACTGCCAATATCCCAAACCCCTCCTTTAAAGTGCAGGCATTGTACTTCCCATTTCCAGGACTCAAGTCCGACTATATGAAAATAACCAGTTTTCCTGAATCCCTTCACTAAATATTACCCTGCTCACACTCCAACAGATCGTCAGGTCCCAAGTACCATTCGTCTCTATTCACTCCTGTCTAACACGCTCACGCACGCTTGCTGGAAGTCCAAGCCCCTCTCCCACAAAACCTCCTTTACCCCCTCTCTCCAACCGTTTCGAGGACGACCCCTACCCCATCTTCCTTCCCCTATAGATTTATATGCTTTCCATGTCATTCTACTTTGATCCATTCTCTCTAAATGACCAAACCACCTCAACAACCCCTCTTCTGCCCTCTGACTAATACTTTTATTAACTCCACACCTTCTCCTAATTTCCACACTCCGAATTTTCTGCATAATATTTACACCACACATTGCCCTTAGACAGGACATCTCCACTGCCTCCAACCGTCTCCTCGCTGCTGCATTTACCAACCAAGCTTCACATCCATATAAGAGTGTTGGTACTACTATACTTTCATATATTCCCTTCTTTGCCTCCATAGATAACGTTTTTTGACTCCACATATACCTCGACGCACCACTCGCCTTTTTTCCCTCATCAGTTCTATGATTAACCTCATCCTTCATAAATCCATCCACTGACACGTCAACTCCCAAGTATCTGAAAACATTCACTTCTTCCATACTACTCCTCCCCAATTTGATATCCAATTTTTCTTTATCTAAATCATTTGATACCCTCATCACCTTGCTCTTTTCTATGTTCACTTTCAACTTTCTACCTTTACACACATTCCCAAACTCATCCACTAACCTTTGCAATTTTTCTTTAGAATCTGCCATAAGCACAGTATCATCAGCAAAAAGTAACTGTGTCAATTCCCATTTTGAATTTGATTCCCCATAATTTAATCCCACCCCGCTCCTGAACACCCTAGCATTTACTTCTTTTACAACCCCATCTATAAATATATTAAACAACCATGGTGACATTACATATCCCTGTCTAAGACCTACTTTTACCGGGAAGTATTCTCCCTCTCTTCTACACACCCTAACCTGAGCCTCACTATCTTCATAAAAACTCTTTACAGCATTTAATAACTTACCACCTATTCCATATACTTGCAACATCTGCCACATTGCTCCTCTATCCACTCTTCATATGCCTTTTCTAAATCCATAAATGCAATAAAAACTTCCCCTCCCTTTTATCTAAATACTGTTCACATATATGCTTCAATGTAAACACTTGATCTACAAAACCCCCCTACCCACTCTGAAACCTCCTTGCTCATCCGCAATCCTACATTTTGTCTTACCTGTAATTCTTTCAGTTATAATCCTTCTGTACACTTTTCCTGGTATACTCAGTAAACTTATTCCTCTATAATTTTTACAATCTCTTTTTCTCCTTTCCCTTTTAAAATAAAGGGACTATACATGCTCTCCGCCAATTCCTAGGTACCTTCTCCTCTTTCATACATTTATTAAACAAAAGTACCAACCACTCCAACACTATATCCCCCCCTGCTTTTAACATTTCTGTCATGAATCCCATCAGTTCCAGCTGCTTTACCCCCTTTCTTTCTACGTAATGCCTCACGTACCTCCCCCACACTTACATTCTGCTCTTTGCTCCTAAAAGAGGGGTATACCCTCCCGGCCAGTGTATGAAATTAAACCGCCTCCCTTTCTTCCTCAACATTTAAAAGTTCCTCAAAATATTCTCGCCATTACCTAATACCTCCGTCTCCCCATCTACAAACTCCCCTACTCTGTTTTTAAATTTGACAACCCATACCTTTCCTGGCTTTCTTAACTTGTTTAACTCACTCCAAAATTTTTTCTTATTTTCATTAAAATTTCTTGACAGTGGCCTCTCCCACTATCATTGCTCTCCTTTTGCACTCTCTCACCACTCTCTTCACCTTTCTTTTACTCTCGGGTATACTCTGCTCTTCATATAACACTTCTGCTTTGTAAAATCCTCTCATTAGCTTACTTTTTCTCTTTTATCACACCTTTACTTCATCTTTCCCCAACCAAATTTCATCCTCTCTCTCCTACCCCCACCCTCCTATAACCACAAACTTCTGCCCCACATTCAAAATACTGCTTTTTTAAAAACTTTTCCCAAAACCCTCTTCAACCCCCCCACTACTCATCTTTGCACTAGCCCACCTTTCTGCCAATAGTTGCTTATATCCCACCCGAACTTCCTCCTCCCTAAGTTTATACACTTTCACCTTCCTCTTACTTGTTGTTGCCACCTTCCTCTTTTCCCATCTACCTCTTACTCTAACTGTAGCTACAACTAAATAATAATCCGATATATCAGTTGCCCCTCTATAAACATGTACATCCTGGAGCCTACCCATCAACCTTTTATCCACCAATACATAATCTAACAAACTACTTTCATTACGTGCTGCATCATACCTTGTATATTTATTTATCTCATACTTACTATATGATACTTAAAACATCCCAGAGAGGTAAAATACACATACAGTACACTCATTATTTACCTTAAAATATGTGTAGTCTTAATATAGGAAGAGATGTGAGTAGTATTTATTTGTAGGAAGTCAGTGTAGGTAGCCGGTAGGTGTAGCCCAGCCCGTGCACTGGCCAGGGAGGTATACTATCTTATAGGAGTGAAGAGCAGAATGTAAGTGTGGGGGAGGTACGTGAGGCATTACTTAGAATGAAAGGGGGTAAAGCAGCTGGAACTGATGGGATCATGACAGAAATGTTAAAAGCAGGGGGGGATATAGTGTTGGAATGGTTGGTACTTTTGTTTAATAAATGTATGAAAGAGGAGAAGGTACCTAGGAATTGGCGGAGAGCATGTATAGTCCCTTTATATAAAGGCATAGAAAAGAATATTTTTCTACAGTTATCCCCCGGTTGTCTAGAGAAAACATAATTCTTCCGACACTACCTACACAGCTGCTTTGTAAACAAATCTCATATTTACATCAATTTTTATTCTGTGAGTGTATGCATCATGTTTATATGCTATGTAACAGGTTTCATATATAATTTTGAGGAAAATATCATAGGTGGATTATTGAAAATGCCTATATTAATGTAAAATAAGACATTTAGTGTGCCCAAGAGTGATTATTATTACGTAGTGATGGCGTCATGAGTAGAGAGAGACTTAGCGATTTTAATGTGTACCTGCACACCAGCACAGTGTGTAAGTATATTTAGGTACAGGTACACATAAGTATAATTATCAGAGTATAGTGGACCCTCAACCAGCGATATTAATCC